CTCAGCCAGGGTGGCTGCTTCTGCCGCAGATTCTGGGTCATGCTCCTTAATCCACACCTGTAACTCATTTGGCTGGATCCACTTCCCGTATAATTCCTTAAGCCTTGCATACAATTCTTTAGGGCTTTCATCAGGATTCACCTCCAGGGAGCGGAACTTCTGCCTATAAGTCTCAGGATTTATATTGTATTTAGTTAGAATAGCAGTTTTTACTTTTTCATAATCCTGAGCATCATCCAAGTCCATATGTACATAGGCCCCTCTCGCCTTACCAGTCAGCAGGGGTATCAGATGAAAAACCCAGTCGCCCTCAGGCCATCGACAATTCGCTCAAATATAGTCAAAAAATGTTCAATATCATCATCGTCTGAAAGCTTTTCCAATCTAGGCATATGATGAAACTGAGACTGAGAAGGCCATGACTGAGGCCTTCACATATGTCTATACTCTTAGATGGTGATCTGGTTGCTGTCAAAATAAAGAATAATCTTCTGAACTCACGTTTGCAGGATCTGTATCTTTGATAGTGATTAATAATGTGCACAAGACACTTCTTACCTGTCTACAAGATCAGAGTGTGACTATCACTGGGTTGTTCACCAATGAAGGCAACACCTGACGTGTTTGTGCTGATTACTGTTTTGCTTTAGAATAGAAAATATATAGCAAAAGTCACTCTAAATGGCATTCAGTTTACCTTCTCTTAGCAACCTTGAGTACACATCTTTGAAACATGTGTTTAACCAGTTAGCACAAGCAGAGTAGAAGCAGAAAAGAGCACCACCGGTGGGAATTCAAGAAGACATCATAATACTCAGCACAGGCAGTGTAGGTGCAAGAACAGCATTGGTGCTTACGGCTAAAGATGAAAAACAAAAATAAATATAATAATGAATCATTTTGTGGCAAATAGTTTTTTTTTGGGGCCTGTTTGTTTACTTTTCTATTACCATTTCTATCTAAGAAGGTAGGGAAAAAGTCACATTTACCAGCAAAGTCTGTGATGTTTTATACCAAAAGACACCAAAGATCACACAGAGGTGCAAAATATATTTTACATTTATGGGGACACTTTTCTCTGGGCCCTGACACTTTTGTCCTGTTGGAAAATGTCCTCTCTAAACAACCTATGAGAGAGAATAGTTAAAGCTACAGTATGTAACCTAACATGAAACTCCAAATCAATCCACTCTGCTCCGCCCAGTCCTGCCTCTCCCTGCTCCAAAGTGCTTTACTACAATCTGCTACCATGCCCAGCTCTTCAAATATTTGTCATTATGAAATTACAATCAATGAGAATCCAGCAAAACTTACTGATCAAGCAGAAATAAACCTCTGATTGGTTAGAGAGGTCGATCCCGCTCTAAACCTTTTAGAAGCTAATATCTCTGCACTGCTGTTAGTGCTGTTCAATGAGTCTGGGTCACAGGAGGCTTCGACAGCACCTCTCGCAGTAAATTTTGGAGCATATTTCTACAGCAAAGATACTTGAAAACGGTTACATGCTGTAGTTTTAAGGGTTCAGAATGCCTGAAATGAAGTTGATTATAACACAGAAAACAAATCAAGCATTTGTATTCAATGTGAGCCGTGGGCTTGTTAAACAGATGGTACTCCTATAATTAAAACAGCAGGTTGAAAGCCTTTGATTCAGAAATGCATTAAATTGCTGTCCCATTTGGATTTCTAAACACATGCTGCATGTTCTTGTCTTCACATGTAACCGTCCTCTGAGGCTGAAGCACGCACACAGGGTTTGTACACTTATCTCGCAAACTCAGAGAAGCACAAACAGCTGGCTGATGACAGTATTGATCTGAAGAGCCGGTTGACATGAAGTGAAATGCCTGTGCCAGTAGCAAAGCCACACATGCACACACACATACATACAATTTCCATCCACACTGAAACAAGCAATACTCAGACTTCAGAGCTAGCCAGCATTAGAAGTTAATACACAAAAGTGGTGCAGTCATCCAAAACGTCAAGGTTGATTTTGTGACATCCTCTAAAATCACAATTGTTCATGATTTAAATATTGCCGACTAGCAGCTTCCTTCTGCCTCTGGTCTTTATGTTAAGCTGGACTAATTGCCAGCCACTACATGTTTAAGAAACAGCTTGACATTTTGGAAATATTTGCTTTTAACTATCATGTCTGTGTGATAAATATGAAACCGGGAGCTGGTTAGATTATCTTAGGATAAAATCTGGAAACAGGAGAAAACAGCCTGGCTCATTCCAAATATAGGAATATGTACTATTAATATACAATATCAACTGACATGATGTGCTGTAGTACTGTAGGCCTTGGTATGGGTTCTGCTTTATCTGCTTTAGTGAATCACTGCAGTAGCACAAAGCAGCAACTTCCCTCAGATCATCAAGTCAGCTTCTTTTGAAGCTGCCAAGGGCGAGATATAAACGCTGGGTGGCCCCTAAACTATGGAATAGCCTGTCTTTGAATGTTAGAGCAGCTACGGACTTGGTAGCTTTTAGATCATTGCTTAAGTCCTATGTATTTTCCCACAGTGGAGTTTGATACGTTCCATTTAATCATGGCCTTATGTCCCCTGTAATTTATTGTTGTTTTATTATTTGTAATGATTTGCTATTTGTTCATGAGTTTATTTTTGTGTATGAGAATTACTTTGGTCAACAGGATGCTGTTTTTAAAGTGCTTCTACGGCACAATTATCAGTAATGACTTTGTCAGAGTGAGTTTTGTTGGATACAAACCGCAGGGTCCATGCATCCTGCTGTTTTAATTTTGAAACTTAAGAGCTTTGATATTAGTTTCATGATATACACAGTCTTCTGATGTATATGAGGGTTGTACATCGCTCACTGATGATTTTCCAAATGGTTTGTGTTGTGTTTTCTTCTTTTCATCATCTTTTTTTGTGTCTGTGTGTGTTTCAACCTTTAGTTTGTGCGAATTGTTGTACCTGTGGAGTTTCTATGCATTTGTACTTTGAGAACTACATTTCCCATGTGCACTTGCATGACAAACCACAGGTGTGGCCTATTTGGCCTAATCAAAAGCTCTTGGATTCCACTTGGCAGCCATTTGCCAGATGAAGGTTTGAGACTTTATGTTTCAGGACTTGCATTGGATTTACTTGTGTAGAGCCTTATTTTCTCCACAGTTTTGGCCTTTGCACTTTGTTGTGAGTGTGTTGACATTCTCAGAATATTCAGAAAGTACACCTACTTACTCCAACCTGCCTGGAAATAAGAGAACAGGTAGGAGGGGCTGTTTGATTTACAATTTAACTTCAAAGTTTTGATTATCAATTTAACCTACTTCACTGGGCTTATATAGAAGGAGATGCCATTGATATTAGGCACAGTCAGTTAATTTGAACTGATTTTAGATGTAAGAACACAAAGTGTGAAATTCCAGGGCATTATTTTTAGTATTAAAGCATTAAACTGGTCCCAGTTATGGTTGAGATGTAGCTGGGACAGTGAAGCTAGTTCATTTTGACAAGGAGAGGGATACAGAGAGATGTAGGAGGCGGAGGGAGGAGCAGGCACGTCTGGATGGACATCTTTTCAGCTCATGTTCTCTTCTTCTTCTCTACTGTCTTGTTGTTTCCTCTCTCCTCCTCTGCTCCTGCTTCTCACCTCATCTCAGCTCATCTGTCCTCACATGTCAATATTTTGACAGCTGTCAGACCATCAGAAAACCTCAGGAGAGTGGGATGTGTGTGTGTGTGTGTGTGTGTTGCTATGGGGTCATACATTGTTGAATGTGCATAGGTTTTTTTTGTGTGTGTGTGTGTGAATGGCGGTTCTGCGGTGACATGTAAGACTTTTTTAACCAGCTCTGTCTCCAGTTTGGTTTCTGCACTCTTTTGAAACAACTGAACTTTGTAGAGCCCCGATTTCAAAATGACGTTATTGCTTTTTAAATCTTAGGACATAAAAAAAAAAAAAGAAGCAGCAAGCACAGCAAAATTATACACCTGAGGTTAAAGCATATAAAATAAAAACAAAAATGGGAACCCAACAGTGAGTTGCATTGTTTAATTTATCCCTTTCTCTCTCTTCTTGCAGCAGGTTCTAGAAACACTGAGAGCACAGGAGGATATAAAGAAGACAGAGAAAGTGTGACGCAAATAAAGACGAGAGGATAACTTGACACCGAATAAGACGGCTGAAAGGGAGATTGAAGTGATGGCTGAGGCCCCGCAGCAGCAACAGGAGGAGGAGCAGGAGCAGGAACAGGAGCAAGAGCTGAACACCGTGGAGGGAACGGAGCCTGATGAAGATTCTGATGAACCCAAAGAGAGTGTCCAGACGACCCCGACTCGACCTCTGCTGACCAAGAGGTCAGAGAGCAGTGTGGACCCAGATGACTACTCCCCCAACATGATTGTCTACAGAAAGGTAAGAACAAAGACAAACACGTGTATGTTTTGTTGTTTGAAAGACTTTTTAGTGGTGAATTGTTAAGTCTATGAGCCTCATGGTGCTGCTGAGAGTTCACTTTAAGGCAGGTTGTGGTGAGCAGTTGCATTTTGTTACTCATTTCCCTTAAGTTTTTAACACAAACAAACTTTGGTAGTTAGTTACTGGAGACCAAAATTTTACTTTGCAAGGGTTAACATTACTGCTGGTGGTTGTTGATGGTGGTGGAAGCTCTGAATCTCTCCTAGCACTTTCAGAGGTATAAAATCTATTGCAGTGAACCACAGATTTGCTTGTGAGGAACATAACTCGCTCAGTGCATAAGTGCTTCAGTGAACTTGTGCTTTTACTGGCTTAGGCCTCAGTTTACCTTAGACATACATCACATAAATCAGAATACAAAAGTACACATTCAGCATTTAGTCTAGGTTTGAATGTTTTCAGGATATCCTGTTACATTATTCCAGTGTGTCATGTGGCACGCACCAGGTAATAACAGTATTGTTTTGTTTGTGTAATGGAAGTAGAAGGAAACTTAGCAACCCAGGTGATTTTGTGATGCCTCTTTCATCAGTTTGGCTTTTCTGCATTGGGATATTTGGATAAATACTGTTGGAAGCACACAGGTCGAACCTATACAAACTTGTTTTTATCACACAATAGGGCATAGAGACTTTCATTAGCTCTCTTAAGGCTTAAATTGAACCATAACTGCTACTTTCTAATCCCAAATCTTTCTCTGACCCAAACTTAATCTAGTATTCTCATTAACCTTAAAATGTAATGAAGAATTAAAACAGAATTCGACATAGAAAAGCATACAGCCTCTCAAACACCCAGAATTTTTCGATTCTTTAGGGATATGACATAGACTTTTAATGCCAATTATTCATTTATAAGCATAGTAATTGTGTCACTACCATTGTGGAGTTTGTTTTTGAACAACAAGTGAGGTCTGTGGCACAGACGAACAAGCTGATCCAGGACTGACAGACATTACCAACAAGTGGAGGCAGTTCATGGTTGGTTTCAGTCTTTGTTTGGGGAGTGTTAAAAATACTGTTAATATAGAAACTATAGTTTCCCCATAACAGGCACAGTGTGTTTTTCCATTTTGAGTTGTTTTTTGAGCATATATGCCTGGAAATCTGTCTGGATTAAACTAAATGGTAAAGGTGCGGTTGTGCTTTTCAGAGTTGCTGGGCAGATGGTGGCAGGAGTGAAAGATGACTTTCAAAACAAAGCTTCCGACATGTTTCTTTTGCTCAGTAAAGGCAAACCTATAACATTTTGGGATACAGATGGAGAGCAGAATCTTTTTGTGATGAGCAGTGGATTTTCTGAGTAATCTAATTAACCAGACTAAGATAAATTTTATGTTTCACAGGAGCAGTTATGGGCTGCTGTTGCTGTTTTGGCTTCCACTCTGCTGAAGCTAAAGCTTGATCTGAAGCTGTTGTTCTATCTGACTCTGAAAAGAGAATATACAGTTTATCCTGTTGGAATATTTATAGCATTTCAATACATTCTACATAGAGCAAAATAAAAGAGAAGGGCAAGAAATGAATCTATTCCAAAGGTAATTTTTTTTCCTTTAAAATAATCTGGGCCTGAGACGTGACGTGCGAGTGTAAATATCATCCTTTTTTAATCATAAATGAACAGTGATAGTATTTCAGTCTGACCTTTAGCAGACAGCATCATTTATCTTTTCTGCACTGGTATTTACCCACTGAAAAAAGAACATATATATATATATATATGTTCTTTTGTGTTTGTATATACTTTTGTATTCTGACATACAGGTG